GGAAGCTGTCGGACATTGTTGTGGTAGAGAAAACGCGTGTTGAAGTTGGGTGGTTATGGTGGGGGAAAATGTGTCCGAGTCAATGGGGTGTCCGAGTCAATGGTGGATCACGTTAGTTATATCTTAACGTTAATAATTACCTCTAGAGCCTTAATAATCAGTACACGGTCCAAAGATTACCCCTCAACGACGGCGTTCCTATTACGGTCGGGTAGAGATTTGGCCTAGAGATGGTAAGCGCATAAGCGCCTAAGAACTCGAAAGAAAGGCGGATGCTTTAGAGAGGAGCTCACTTGCAAAGACGGCGCCTTAACGAGGATAACGTTGGCATCCAAGGGCGCCTATAGTTTATATCAGGGCACGCTATTGTTTCGGTCCATAACCTGTTATAGGAATATTTACCAAATGTCCGGAATTGAAAATGTGTGAAACTGGAAATGTCCGAAGTTGGGTGTGTCCGGAGCTGAAGGCGTTCGGAATTTGCTGTGTCCGGAATTGGGGGTGTCCGACGTAAATCGATGTCCAAGGACTTTGAACCTAGATTTCATTTAATCAGCTCCTAAATACAGACTGACCGCCTCCACGACGCTTGTTCAAGCTGTCCTCCTTGTCGGCTTTAGCTAGTCTCCAACCGGGAGCACACCGATTACCTGTCATCGTCATCACCATGCGCGCCATCCTGTTGTTCACCTTTGGGTTACTCACCCCTTACGTCCTGGGAAAGACCATTGTGTCACGGGCTGATATCGAAACCTGTCTCACTTCGTTCGGCGTGCCCATCGACATCAAGGGCACGGCCGACTGGAAACGCGATGCTGCGCCCTTTAACCTCCGCGTCCCGTACATCCCAGTCGCCATTTCGGTGCCCACTACCATTGAGCATATACAAAAGTCAGTGATATGCGCCACGGCCCTTGGCATTAAGGTATCGGCCAAGTCTGGAGGACACAGCTATGCGTCCTTTGGCCTCGGCGGAGAAGACGGTCACTTGGTCGTTGAGCTGGACCGCATGTATAATGTCACCATGGGTGAGGATGACATTGCTATTGTTCAACCTGGGGTCAGACTGGGTCACCTCGCAACCGAGCTGGCTACGAAATACGGTCGCGCCGTCGCTCACGGCACCTGTCCTGGGTCAGTCACGCGTTGTTTTTAGCCCGCAGTATTGATATTAATTGATTTTGTTAACGTGAGGTAGAGTTGGTATATCTGGACACTTTCTCCATGGCGGCTTTGGCTTCAGCTCCCACACACACGGCCTAGCACTGGACGCCGTAGTCGGTGCCACTGTCGTCCTCGCCGACGGCAGTATCGTTGAAACCTCTGAGAGGCAGAACCCAGATCTCTTCTGGGCTCTCCGGGGGGCTGGGTCCAACTTTGGCATCGTTGCAAGCTGGCGGCTGAAAACTTTCATGGCCCCTACCACTCTGAGCTGGTTTAGTGTCAGCCTGGGGTGGAACCACTCTACGGCAGTAGCGGGCCTTGAGGCCCTTGAGAACTATGTCACGAATGCCATGCCTGGCGAGCTCAATTTCCGTCTATCGGATCGTAGCCAAGGACGCCCCGGCATGGAGGGACTGTATTATGGCACCGAGGCGCAGATGCGCGCAGCCGTTATTCCCCTTCTTGAGAAAGCTGCCCCTTTGGGAATTATCACTGCGTCCGGCACGGTCGACTGGCTTCAAGCAACGGTTCACTACAGCCATTCTGACAATGTTGATCGGATAACGCCTAGCACTGTAAGTACTCTATATAGTCTACATGGATTACCAAGTAGTGGAAGTCAAAAGAAATAACCTGACACTCAGCTCAGCAAGAGACCTTCTTTGCCAAGAGTCTAACGCTCAAGGGCTTGCACGGAAATCCGGCACAGAATTTGGTCGACTACTGGTTCAACAATGCCACCCAGATGACGGAGCGCAACTGGTGGTTCCAGCTAGACATACACGGCGGCAAAAACTCGGCTATCACCCGAGTCTCTAAAGACCAGACAGCGTATGCCCACCGCGACAAGCTGTATATCGTTCAGTTCTATGACCGCGTCTCCCAGGGTGTCTATCCACCCGAGGGTATTCTGTTCCTCAATGGTTGGGTCGACGCTGTCACGAGCACGCTGACGCCAGATGATTGGGGAATGTACATCAACTACGCCGACACCACTCTCGACCGCGAAACCGCACAGCGCGTCTACTACGGCAGCAACTTGCGTAGGCTGCAGGAGATCAAGGCTAAGTATGACCCGATGGAGCTGTTCTATTATCCTCAGTCAATCAAGCCTTTGCTTCTCTAAGAGATATCGCGAATGAGAATTGTTGGAGGAGACTGTTCAGCACGATTAATCAAGTGAGTCACACCCTAGATCCCGAGGACTGTCCTATTTTGACTTACTGTGACGGCAGTGGCGGCTGCTGTCAACAGTACAGAAGCTACCACAAAGTTTCAAGTTGTTGAACTGGAAATTTTGGTATCCATTTGAGGAGGTTAGTGCAATAGCATGGTGGCTCCGTCGCACGCGCCATCGCGCTACCCAAGCTCTAACCTTCAGGATTACATAGTTATTGAAGAATAAACCGCTGATATGAAGAAACATGTATATATATCTTTATACTCTTAAATCGTTATTCTCTGAAACGTGTTTGCCGGACCATCCAAGTCTAGTTATCATGGGAAACAATGTCTGAGTTATCAGGGCTGGACTAATAACCTATATCTTCCTTCTGTTTCACCACTCCGGTAGCCACCCTCTCCAGGAGTAGAGAAAGCCTAGGTAGATGACGAGGTGTAATGGGCTCGCGGCAATTTTGTTGCACTAGCACTACCTCTGCTCCAAGACTCCTAAGTGGTAAGGAAGAAAAGAGGAAAGACGAACAGACAAGAGACAATAGTAACTCGTAGGCATTCTTATCCTCGCAAGAATACTGGCCTGAGCGGGTTGCTAGAAGCCTCGGTATGCTGGGGGGCGAGTGGGAATAGCTTCATCAGGGGTTTTGGTGCTGGCTGGGAAGAGGGATGTGAAGGCTGCTTCTCGCTTCATGCCCCTTCTGAACCAAAGCGTACGGTTTGTAACATCGTCCGTAGCTGTGTATTCAAAATGTTCCTGGACTAAGCAAGAACGCAGGGCCATAGTTTTCAGTCCAATGATATAAGAAGACTCTTCACCTAGCTCCTACGCTACGTGAACAAAGAAAGGTTTGAAATAGCCATCAAGGTTCTGAACAACTTCTTTCCGTGTGAATGATGCAAGAGCTTGGGAAACTTAACCCCCTCTATAGGACTTCGTTCAAGAACGAGTCGTCCCAAGATCATTAGGGAGCCTACGTATCTCACTCACTCGACGAGCTACCCCTCAACAACAGTGTGACCAAGGACTGCACTGAGCTTCACTGTTCTGCACCTTCATCTATCAATGGAAACCTGACAGGGTGCCAACCCTAGTATCTCACATCACCTCGCCCTCCCGCTCCAGAGATACAACTCCTCTTCGTGGGACTCCGGGCCTTCCTGTAGTTGATGTCTCAACGCCGCGTTTAGTACCGATAGACCGCGAGCCTGCTTGGGCGAGTACAGCCAAATCGGAAAAGGTCAAACGGCTTAAGGGTTTTGGCGAACTCAAGCAGGTGGAGGGTTGGTGACTCGGCTTTTCACCGCCAATTCCAAAATCCGAGCTCGGTCTTGATTTTCTATATAACAGTGCCAGTAAACACTAAGTCTAGACCAGAGAAACAGACGTTGCTATACTTTTCTTTATACTGTCAGCGGGCTAAGACGGGGAATAATATAGTTCTTTGCTGCACCTCTAGTTAATAAGCAACGGGAACCGAAGGTACCTCTAGACTGCAGCTCTAACGTTCGGTAATCAGACTAACGGAAAAAAGGCATTGCTGCTGCTGGATCGACGTTGCTGTTGCTCAAGTCCTTAATGAAAGCAGCTCGCTTCCAGCCTCGGACTTCAACCCCTGTTTAACCCTCTTTGCCAATGTGCTCCGATTGTATATCACATAGCGCCAAGCGTCCAAAATCTGACTGTGCTTGTTGATTCAGCCCTTGGTAATGGGGGAAGGGAGAGGGAGGTCTTGGCTGCGCTCGGAAGACATCTAAACCAAAGGGGTTGGTAGGTTGCCTTCGGCTGGTTGGGACGAGTATAATGATCGGGAGCTGAAGCCCATTATACAAGGATGAACACTCTGGTAAAACGTCCACGCATATTCAGACCCTCAATTCACCAACATCGGCGAGCGCAACATGCGAGCGACACTGGCTGCCCTTCTTTGCCACGTCTCACTGGCCTTGAGAGGCGGACAGAGCCAAGGCTGGCCATCTCACCAGCAACCTTACACTGGAAGAGAAGTGCAAGACTTGCAAGCGACCACGTCATTCAAAATGCCTGGCGCTTTCAATTGATCAAATGTCCCCGAAAAAAGCTGTTCATGTCTTCGAGAGAATCTCGGAATCGGACTCGCCAAGCTTTGGAGAGCACTGGACTCTTGACAGAATCGCCCAATTCTTTGCGCCGCCCAGGGAAAGCATTCGCCAAGTGGGGAAATGGCTCAGCAGCTCTGGCGTGCGGCTGCCGGCTCTGCGTCTCTCCAGGGATGGCACCTTGTCGTTCAACATCAGCGTCGGCAAAGTAGAGTTCCACCTGTGCCACCCGATCAACAGCGGCACGCCCCAGACGGCATCTGAGCGGTACTCGCTGCCATCACGAGTGGTCAAGTATATCGACCACATCCTGCCCGTTCCGGAGCCGGAGCCGGCCTTGTCGTGCAGAATACCTCAGTATCATGCTGGCCGCCTTCAACAAGCACTACTGCCGCGCCGGTCTGGACCCGCAGTTGGACCCCGTCTACCGCGACCAGCTCCCGGGCGGTTACAACGCGAGCGACTGCGGCACGTACACACTGCCGCGTGTCATCGCCATCATATACGCGTGGAACGAGGCCTGGTACCCGGACGCGTACGCCCGCCGGCTAGTGCCTCGAGTTCCTGAAGCTCGGCCTGCAGGGCGTGACGGTGCTGACGGGCTCGGCCGACCGCGGGCGTGCTGACGGGCTCGGCCGACCGCGGGCCCGCCGACCAGCTGATGTACTGCATCGATCGCGATAACCCTAAGAACAACACTGCTAGCGAGGGTCACTTCGCCTTGGTATTTCCCGCCGCGTGCCCGTGGGTGACCTCGGTCGGTGACACGCAGTTCCTGCCGGTCGCCGCCGCCAACTGTTGCAGTAGCAGCACTCTTTCGCCTTTCCCGGGCGAGACGGCGCTCAACAACAACAGCACTGTCTCCTTCTCCGGCGGCGGCTTCAGCCGCGTCCTCCCGGCGCCCTGGTACTAAGGCAACCTGACGCGGGAATATGTCGCTGCTGCGCCGGGCGCGGCCGAGCTGGCGAGGCAAGGCTGCTTCAACGTCAACTGCAGGGGGTACCTGGACATCTCGGCCATGGGGAAGGGCTTCCTCGTCAGTCTGCACGGCGGGTACCGCGCTGTGTCGGGTACGTCGGCGTCGACGCTCGTCGTCGCGGCTATGATTGCCAAGATCAACGATGCGAGGCTATATGCAAGTAAGAGCACCGTGGGACTCACCCACCCAGTGCTGTATGCTGCGCGTAACAGGGGAATGCTGAGAGATACGTACAACGGCAAAAGCCACGGGTGCGGAGTCAGGGAGGCGTTTCCGGCCAGGCAGGCGTGGGATGCTGCAACGTTGGGAACGCTGGACTTTGAGAAGCTGAAGGAGTTGTATCTCCGTTTGCCGTAACGGAGCGTAGACTTCGAGCCGTTGGGGAGATCTTTGCTGGTTGTAGTCCAATTTTGGATCAGCTTGGCGAGGTCATATTCCCCGGATGGAAAGGGTGTTGGTAAACGAAGTTTGGGCAAGCAGCGGAAGCAATAGTGAGTGACTGTACGGAGTATTGGTTGAACTGGAGGGTTGCGTTACTTGGAAAGTGGGTTGGAGGTTGTAGGAATGATGAGGGAACTGCATCAGATGAAAAGGGGTTATCCGAGGTGTTGCCCGAAAACTGCGAGTGCCAAGCGTTCCTTTCACCAATACTAGGGGAATTGAGCGCTGTACCACACTGCCACACGTAGCTATTGAGGCGGCTCGCGTACCATATAGAAGAGCAAAGTGTCAAGCTTCCATCCCGTCCTCCTGTTTCAGCCGTTTGAGTTCCAAACCTCTCTCCCATTACGACGCCGTCTGCCACCAATCTGATACTTTGTTCGCCAAAGACTGCTTATCTTACGCATCTGCTGCCGCCCCTTTAACACCTTGAGTACCCTGACAACCAGCGCCAGTGATGCGCCCGCCAAGTGCGCCACTACTACACGGTAGGACCTACCATCGCGCGAGGAGCAGACAGCTGCCCTGGCCAGCTGCGCCGCGACCGCCGGGTAAGAGCTTCCTCGGCGCGAGAAGCTGCTGGCTACGATGGCCGCTCGGGCGGAGGAACTGCGAAAGCAGTATCCCTCGGCTGATCTCAAGCCTGAACAGAAGTGGTGGGTGCCGAGCGTGGATTTTGCTTCTCGTTGTTAATTGCGGCTTCTCTTAGTATTCTTTCTTTGCAATCTAATTATATACATTCGTACGTTAAACGAGGCTCAGAAAACTCTTCCTCAAGATATAAGCGCCTGGGTCAACGCCAATTTCGCAAAGCTCATTCAAGACAAGTTTGCTCCCGAGTCCGTGAATGAGGGGCACCGGCAGCTGAGATAGCTGCTCCAAACGGAGTATCCCAATTCCCGAGGTGATGGAGAGGGTTGACGAGGCGTTCTTTGTTGAGTATGAAGCGTAGTTTTGCGGAGGTGTGTCGCCAGCTGCAAGGTGTTGGCTCGCTGGAGTGTACGGGATGGAAATGTTATATTAAGAATAGTTGTAGCCTTGGGTGCCCGTATGGTTTCTCGGCCAACCTCGGCCCGTTCAACGAACGGACTTGGGTTAGGATAGGTGAAGGGGGCTGCAGTCAGCAAATCCCCCATCGTCCCAACAGGATGAGTCAGCTGGTATTGATTGCTGGCATTGAAAGCTTGTATCAATTTGAAGCATATGTTGCACCAATTCGGGCACTGTCCTACCGGCGCTTCCATGGCCTGAGCGTATTGTTGGAGGCTGGCGCTGAAGTTATGAAGATCGCTTCGGCAATGCGGCATATAGCGACCATGTGCCGGCAATTTTCTGGCGGGGTGCTTTGTAACGGTCCCAGGAGTATATTGCAACTAGCTGGTGACGACTCTACGAGTTTGCCTCGAATGGAGAAAGAAGAAGAAAAGAGAGAACTAGATGACAGGAAGAGAGGGCAGCTCTTATATGCTCCGGAACACACAGACACTGCCTGCTTCAGGATGACGTTATCATGATACCACGGCCGAGGGTTGCCGAGGCCATCATGGGCTCAGCCCATCACAGCTTAAGCTGCTTTCGAATAGCTGCATGTAGGTAGGCGAGCTCCCTAATTTACAAGCTAGAGGCAAATGGGGTTGAGCTGACGGCGAAACTTGTCCTTATGCTGCTCATGAATATGTTTACCTTTGACTGGACCGACCCGCAGCAGGGAGAGAGAGTTTTAGTAGGTATGCCAGGTACACTGCAGGAATACCAAGAATAAGGAACACGGCTTGTACCGGGGGCAATACAACTATTTATATAGCTTGGTCAGTTCAATGGCCTCGTCGGGATTACGCCTGGTGCTAACGGGTCCAGACTTCATTGCCAACCTGAGTGTGTTCAGCGACGATCTGTACAACCAGTTCTTCGACCAGGTCAAGGTGTACAGTGAAATTTGCACAATGCTGTCGATTCAGAAGGAATGTTACGAGAAAGTAGGGCAAACATGTTCTGTCATCCGCGTGACACACACACAGGGTTCACACTTCGGAGCAGAGGGGATAAGACGAATGGCGATGGAGGAGGTTTTGAACATTCTCTCAACTCAGGGCTAACCGTATCATTCGATGCAACATCTGTCGGGGTTCCCAGTGAATTATGAAATGCTTTATTACTAAATGCGAAGATTTCCACCACCCAGATCTCTCAATCTTTTTCTCATATCCATGGATCCTTGGTGTAAATCCGCGTATTGTTGTTGTGCGTGGTGCCCCACATCCTTGGCAGACCGGGTTGCCCCACATCTGGTGCAGGGGTTACAGCCCTGCCCACCAGAGCCTATCTCACATCCAGCATCACCACTGCATGAACCACCACCGTTGATGATCACCATCTTCTGTTGTCTCTGGATCTCCATCAATTGTTCTTGACCCTTTATGAGCGTCTCACGGACACCTCAAGGCCGCCTATGCTTCTTTCTTTCCGTTAGGGCTGTGACTCAGTGACTGCGTAGTACCTGAGAGCCAGTGTAGAGTAACCTTCCCGAGCCTCTAAAGGGCTAGGCTTCAAAGAGCGGATGGGATATACGGCGCCGTATTTTCGTCAAGATACGGTCTACTCGTAGCGATGACATCAAATCTTGCGCATCCTTTTAACATTCCGAAACTCCGAGAACAAGGTGCGTACCTTAGTCAAAGCTCGGGGACAAAACACGTACCTATTCGATAGCTCAAATATCCACTGTGCTGGATAGCGGTTCTCCTCCCAACAAGAGCCGAGCCGACTGCTAGGTGACCCGGCTTTCTTGGCCAGGAAGGAACCCGCATGTGGCATATATAGGGACCACCATTCTGCGACAGAAACACTGGAACGGTTGCAGGCAGGCTGAGAGGTTCACCTTCGTACTCGGATTGTCCAAGAACACGCTATGGGCCGCCGCGTCTTCGAGGCATTGACATGCCCCTTGTCCTGTAGTTAGGAACATCTTTTATACTTCGGTGCAAGACTACGCGCAAGTTTCAACGGGAAGAGGATAAGCACAACTCGGCGAGTGGACAGCGTCGCTAATCAACATCGCTTTCCGTCTCGTCCGGTGCAGCGGAAAGGTGCTAAAGTCGATATCCCAGGTTAGGACCTGCTTGGCTTCGCTAATACCAAAACCAGACTGTTAGCAGAGGTATAGCTCAGCTTGTTTTGACGTCATCCATTATTCATAGGTCAAAGCATGTCGTAGGATTGAATGAAAAGCCTCGCACTCTGAGAGCAAAACTTCTCTAAGGTCTTAATTCTTGTAGTCTGCAAAGCCAGAATCAGGTTATGCTAATCAAACGGAAGGTACTGGACTATTGTTGAAGCTGTAAGTCATTGACCTGTTGAAGCTCCCTTCGAGGCGAGACTCAGGTAACCTGCTTCCAAGTCTTGCAGCTCGCCGTTACGAACATTAGCAACCGAAGCGGCTGTCACGGACGGCTCCAGTGTCCTTTTAGCTCGTCAGCTGCCCGCCAAAGCCCCAGAAACTCAACAATGGGCAGCGAACCTTCGTTCATTCCAGCATTATCACCTACAATATGACAGTGAACGAGTCCTAGCTGCATAATGGACTACAAGTCATGTCAATTTGGTCGGTCAGAGCCGGGCCCACGGAATGCAAGGTAACGTAATCAACATACCTTTTCACTGTCAGCTCCCACCACAAGATCAGCGACATATGTGGAACCATCTCCCAGTGTGAATGTTGCCGATTTGATTCTTGATTCTTGGATTCAAGATGTTTGTGTCCTCAGTTTTCTGCCTTTATTTCTGCGAGACCTCGTGGGTTAGTAACATTGGTCGTAAGCGGGCTTGAAGGCCAATCTCCAAGTGTTCAACGTCCTATTCTCGGCAATTGAAGCGTGCTTACTCGGCGTGGCACGAGATGGATGATATTAGTCGGGTTGGGGTAGTGGATTAGGGTGTTTCGTTCTGTGGTTTGTCTACATCTAGGGGCCCATATCAATGGTAACCGCGTTGTTGCCCGCACCGCTTGGATGTTCGGAGAGAAGTTGTTCTCATCACAGGGTGACTTTCCTCCTAGGTAGAAGGAGATGTTACTCCTATCGACATCTGTGCATTGGAGCATCTCTGCGCGGTGTTCAGTCCATTGCCTGCATCGGAATACTCCACTGTTTCACTCGCTTTTCCGCACGTACACTAGTTTGGGATGCCGCTCTGATACGGTAGAGATACGTGTTGGGCTCGGCTATGCCCGTCTTGAGCTGGGCAAGCTACCAGCCTCCTTATGTGATAGGTAGTCGTAAAGCGGTCGAGTGTGCTTCCCTGCTAGTGCTGTCCCTGCTAGTGCTGTCTACTCTTTTGGAGTATCTGCCCACTTTGTCCATAGCGTCTTGAGCGATGCCCGAGTAGTTCACGCGATGCGGAGGGTTGTTGACCGCATTCCAGGTTCCCGGGTGGGCGGAGACGCTTGTAGATCTTGGCCTCATGCTCCAGGTCCCGTACACACCTGGCCGTTGTCGCCATACTGAAGAAGTAGGCAAGCAACGTAATCTGGAAAATAGCCCCCCGTGCACCCTCAGCAGGCAAACGAGCGACCCAGAACAACGCGATCTGTGGTGCCGGGCGACAGAAAGAGCATGATGAAGACGACCATGCCGTCGTACCGCCGCAAGCATATCCTCATGAAACGTGAGTGATGGCCAGGGTGAGATGTGATGCTGATATCAAAAGTGCGACGTTACGGTACCTGAGGTGTCCAGTACTAGGTTTGGGGGCTGTTGCACGCATCTTCGCCAGGTGCGCAGAACCGTCTTGACGTCAGTGGCCGCACCCTAACCTGTGGAATATTCCATCAAAGCCGCCCATTGCGAGCATATTCCGGCTTGTAGGCTCGGTATGACGATCACTGCGTATTAACTCCCCGCGCGATGCTTCCCGAAGCACGGGAATTGCTCCCACGAACCGCAGGAGTGGGATCAACTAAACGCGTTATCCCTGTTCCAGACCCGGCTGTGTGAACCTTCAATTGGCAGGTGCGGCAATGTGACGGTTCAGGGGGGGTTCGATTGGCCCGGCTGTGGGGCCTTCAAAGAAATGACAAACGAGATCGATGGATACCGCCAAGCCAATGTTTTGAGGGTTGCAAGCAGAGCCGTGACGCCTCACACCATCGCTCCCCATATACAAACATAAATCATATCTAAATTCGCCAACTTCAGACCTTCAGAGCTGACTTAATCTGTTCCATAAAACCAACATTTCCAATCATAACTATAGCACCTACCCTACTACGGCCACATAGCCCTAACCGCTACCCTGAATAGGTACTCAACAGCAACTACTAACCCTAATCTGGGGAATTAGCCCCGCCCCGCATCCCCAGCGGCGCTAACACTTGGGCCCCGCATTCCCAGCGCCGCTAACACGTGGGGGACCCACCCAGGCCTGTCGCGGTCCCACTTAGCGCGTTTCCCTGCATTTTCCGAAATTGGCTTGGCAGTACCTCTTTATCAACCGGCCCTTAAAACCGCATCTTTTTACCCTACAATTTATCCAGCCGGCTGGGACCGCCTCACGGTGGAGTAATGTCTGGCTGTCAACAGATCTCTCTCAGGGGCCTGCCAGTAGGTATATGAGAGAGCGATGTCTTCCATCAAGTAATCATCAGATTGTCCCACGGTCTCTGCATTCCTTCACCTCAACGACAAGAAACATCAAACGGTCACGATGCGATTCTCCGCCCCTGTTGCCCTGGCACTCAGCGGTCTTGCCGCTGCCGGGCCCCTCCCCGCTGACTATGAGGCCATGAAGTGAGTCCTGCTTGGCTGTTGAGCGGCCACATCAAAAAGTCGGGTCTAATGTCCAACGCTGTGTGTAGCCTCATCCACCGACAGACGCAGACTCTCCACGCCGCGATGAAGGCCGCCGGCCGCGAATACATCGGCACCTCGCTCACGCTCCGCAACGACAACACGGAGCAGAACATCATCCGGAATGAATTCGGCTCCATCACGCCCGAGAATGCCATGAAGTGGGAGGCGACTGAGCCCAGCCGCGGCCAGTTCACCTTCACCTCGGCAGACCAGCACATCAGTTGGGCGCAGCAGAACAACAAGCGTAAGTCATCCAATGTGCAGAGAGGTTGATTAGGCCGGTTGAAAACCAGCATGGCGATGCTTACTCCTATCGGTAGACGTGCGCTGCCACACGCTTGTCTGGCACTCGCAGCTGCCCAGCTGGGTGTCCAACAGCAACTTCGACAACGCGACGCTGATCGAGGTCATGACGAACCACATCAACCAGGTCATGGGCCGGTACAAGGGCAGGTGCAATCACTGGGATGTGGTCAACGAGGCGCTGAATGAGGACGGCACCTACCGTGACAGCGTCTTCCTCCGCGTTATTGGTGAGGCCTACATTCCCATTGCCTTCCGCCTCGCCGCCGCCGCCGATCCCGCGGCCAAGCTGTACTACAACGACTACAATCTCGAGTACCTTGGCCCCAAGCTCGAGGGCGCCGTGCGCATCGTGAAGCTCCTCCAGCAGTACGGCGTCCGCATCGACGGCGTCGGCTACCAGGCCCACCTGACCACCGAGGTCACGCCGACCAATTCGGTCCCCGTCCCGTCCGAGAAGGATCTCACCAAGGCCCTCAAGAGGACGGCCGACCTCGGCGTCGACGTCGCCTACACCGAGCTCGATATCCGCATGAACACGCCTGCCGACGCGCAGAAGCAGCAGGTCCTGGCCGATGCCTACGCCCGCGTAGGCCGGTCCTGCTTGAATGTCAAGCGCTGTGTGGGCATCACCATCTGGGTAAGTTCGCCTGCGCTTTGGGACCCCTCCTAGCTGTGTATCCCGGGATGCCTCCTGACAGGTACCTTTCCTTTGCCCATCAACTGCTGACTTTACCTGTTTTTCTCCACGTTAGGGCGTATCGGACCGGTATTCGTGGATCCCGGGTACCTTCCGCGGCGAGGGCGAGGCGCTGCTCTGGGACGGCAACTTTCAGAAGAAGCCTGCCTACAACGCCTTCCTCGAGGCCATCTCCACCGCCCCGCCCCGCGGCTGTCATAAGGAGTAAAAAAATAGGACCGTGGTGTACCGTCGGTTCCTCTAACGGCGGGGCGATTTCAAGTAGAACTGGTTTACGGGGGATGATTGGGGATCGTCTTCGCTGAACTTGCCACTGTTCCAGAAGGAAATATATATTGACGTACCTGTACATACCGATCAACCATGTCTCGGCTGCGGCAGTCAGATGGCCGACCCGCGCTTTCCTCTCCTTGTCGTCTTGGATGCGCAGCTTGTCGTTGTCGTGGGCAGGAGGAGGCCAGACTGGTGATCCCGTCGAATATGAGGGACCTCGACTTCAGCCTCTCGGTGAGTGATGTGGGCCAGTAACAATATACTGTCCTAGGGTTCGTAGAAGGGGTCTCCCTCGTCCACCTTGGGGGCGGAAAAGCCGCGATATGCTTGCCTGGCACGTCGAGGACTGCGAAATTCACGCTTTTTTGGCGATAGGTGTAGACGCAATGTGGATGCGACGATGCGAGGATCTCTTTGGGGATCTTGGCGTTGCTACAGAATTCGGACTGCATGGAGCGGCTGTGATACCCCCGATGGCAGTGCGTTATAGGCTATACGAGAAGGGGCGCTGAGTCCGAAGCCACTGGTCGGGGCTAAGAAACGCCTCCCATCCCTCCGCCTCACCATGCTCCTTCCCGGTGGCATCTCTCCGGAGCGGGTCAGACTCGCTCTATCTGTTTCGGTCTTTTTGACCTACCTCCTAGTGTCAAGTTTGACCCTGACATGGTTGATGCTATGCTGGACGAGAGCGGCCTATGTGGCACAAGGATCCTCTCAGCGGTGTGCGACGCGTTGAAACGCCCTTTTGCCTCAAATCAATCTTGTTCTCGAGCCCGTCAAGATCCCCATGGAGCCGATTCTACCTTTATCAACAGCAGGGATGACTGGCCATTATTCTCCCAGCGTAACCGTTTCGCTTACCGTAGACAGCAACTGCTGTCTTGGCTGAGGTGAGAAAGGGCTCCGAGAATTCTTCAACTCTGGCGCTTACAGACAGTATATTCTACCCGGCGGGGGCTTGAACCGAAACGGTAATTATTCCTCACCTCTTCCTACATTTCCTGGATCCTCCTTTATCTTCCTCACTGTCTTTTGTGCTGTCCTCGTCTATGCTGTATCTCACAATGAATGCACCCTCGCGCGACCTTTCGGTTCTGCTGCACTGAGAAACTTGGGTGTGTGATGGAGAGCTCCGAGAAGCCATTACTCACTCTCACCAAGCCTAATGGTTGTACTAGCCGCCAGCCTAATAAAAGTCCTCACCCTGGTTACTAAATTGATCCTAGGCAGATCCATTGCATTACGGGGTCGGTTTCGGCGTCGGAAAACCGAAGCTGTTCTATGTAGGCGCCTCGAAAAATTGCAGCGTTCTTAGACCTTTGGAGCCTTCTGACCCCAGCCCGACTTGCCAGCTTCCAGGTTTATGGGCGGTTTTTCGATGGGCCTGAGCCTGGCCTTCCTTTTTTTCTTTTCCTTTTTTTTTTTTTTTGCCCTTGGTCTTTTTGACCTTCTTCGCTCTTTGAGCTACACAATTGCTACACTTAATGCGCGCTGCCGAAGTCCCGGCCCTGACTGCTGCGCTTCCCTGGTCCCTTCCTATTGTATTCGTCTCACCATCTCCATTCCCTGGTGAGCTCTTTTGTGTAACCCGACATTTTGGAAGTGCTGTTGGATTTGGCAGGTGGTCAGAGAGGGCAGTTCAGGGGTGACCAATGGCTTGGCACCAGGATTCTCAGGATCAGGAACAGGCAGGGAACTTCTGGAAAAACACAGACAGGTACATCATCATCAATTGAGTGGTTGCCCATCCTTTTGGTACCCAACTATTACGGTGCGGCACATTCGTGGCTGTTGGCTTTCCAACAAGTGCCTTCGTGCTCGTGGTTTCAAAGCTCTTGATTGAGCTCGACCCTTTCGATGCTGGCTCGCCTCTGATCAATGCGTCTTTGTTACATATAGCTGTGTTTTTATGCGAGTTTGAGACCTTTACGAGGCTGGGTTCTCTGATTTCTCCTGTATTGGTTGTTAGCGAAGGGATTGTCTATTGTATTTCTCTTGCGAGGCACCTGTTGGTGTATCTTTAGTACTGTCTTGTTCCTCCTTGCTTTTAATGTGGTTGTTGGTCGACTTAGATCTGCGTCTTTTTCTGTTACGTGAGGATAATTTCGCCCTGTGCCCTTGGACTCGTCGATTGTGCACTGTCTTCGCGATAAACATAACTTCCCCCTGATTTGTTCTGATATCTTTATCCTGTGATGATCCAGCAAGGGGTCTTAGAAATCGTGCCGACATTCAACAAGGTAATTATCTGCAGAATGGTATTTCATTACAGTTGAGACCCGGGTAACAAGTGTACCTTTATCGTCGTGGGATGGGTTGTCCATATGTGGCGATGCCGCTCCCTGTTCTGCGCGAAGCCGTCGTAGCAAATGTCGCAAATGACAGATTGGTTGTGGTTACGCCAATGGTTTCTACATTTTATCAGCGTCATCTTCTGATTATTGGTAAGAAACAAGAGCATGAGAGATCAACCACTACTACATGTCTCAGGGGCACGTATATACAATGTCACTGGAACATTTGCCACTTGTGCGTGTTGTAAGCCTGCTTGCATCGTTAACCGAATAGACGGACGAGTACGGAGTCCTCCGCGGCCTCGCAAGCATAACATCAACCCCAGCGTTACAACTACCATGCTGCCGCCTCCGTGACTTAAATTGACGGCCGCATCGCATAATCTTCGCAAGGCAGGCTATCAGCCAGGCCGACATCTCCTCACGGGTGCAAGTAGATGTGAACGCTATTCTATGCACCAGAACCACTGTCATCCAAGTGTCCCACAGGCTAGAGGGGCAGTTCCCAAATGGGCTGAAGTGTAGGGCCTGTCCACACATCGCCAGGCAGGTCCGCCGCATCCAGGAGCACTGCCGTATTACGCTCGACTGGTAAACCCGCGACCCAGGGACGCGGACACTAGGGCGGCCGCCAGTGGGTCGTACGACAAGCCGTGGGAGGCGGGCATATAGTGTTAGAGGTTCTTCAGAAGCAGGGTCGCGAGCGGCTGGTTCCAGGTCCACCTATGCGAGGGCCCGCCACTACAGCCATCCCCGCCGAGCCCGGCGCGACAAGCATCCGAACTGGAGGCGCGGTTCCTGCCCTTAGTGCAACAGACATCTTCGCAACTCAAGCGACGTACGACAACCGTCGAGGATAGAAAGGGCAAGCTAGAGCCCAACACGTGGCTGCGCCGGGTCGGTGGGGCCGAGCGCCTGGCGGGCCTGGATGTAGCGCTCCTCCGCGGCGCGGTGAGCCTTCTTGTTCCAGGGCTGGCGGCTTGACGATGAGGCCCCCGAGAAAGATGCAGCTGTCCAGCGCGCGTGGGAGACCGTCGGTCGCGCCGTCCGGGATGCGCAGAGCGTGTGCATGTACGAGGAGGTCGGATCTGTTGTCCTGTTCGAGGTTGGCCGGAAGGCAATCAATACAAAGCCGTCGAGGCCGTTCAACAGTCGGCTCGAGCCTCGTACGACCGAGAGATATTTCAACGTCTGGAAGAGGGTTGTAGCCTACATCTTCCGTTAGCAGCGCTTGGAGGACGACGCCAGCCCGCCCTTCGAGCTGACGCTGCGCCAGCGGGACGCGCTGGTGGCCTTCCGAGCCGCGCTGGCCCGCTCGGCGGCGGCCGCGGCGGCATCAAAGCGCCGGCTCCTGCAGGCCGACAGGCTCTGCCTGGACTTCCTAGTCCCCCTGCCCGACCACTCGCTGCTGGACTCGTCGTACGAGAGCGTCCTCTTGTCCGCGCTAGCCGTCATGGGCACCAGGAACGACCGCGGTTGGGCAACGCCGGACAGCTACACCGGGCAGTATTCGTCCGTCATCAAGGTAGCGAGGATGCTGGTGGTGCAAGAATCCCAGCTGGAGGTCAAAGACGATGGCGCCATCAAGAAGGGGTTGTTCTTTGTCGTACGGAGCAAGGTACTTGCGGCCATCGGCGAGCATGATGACAAAGTCGGGTAGGACCCTGCCGCACGGGTAGAGGAAGGTGTTCCAGCCGCCGTCCCACTTGGAGCCGGGCACGCCGCGCCAGTACAGGACGGCGACGGCGCGCGAGATAGTCCCGCCGCCGCTGCCCCTATCGACGGCCACCTGGGACTTCTTCTCGTGGAACTTGGCGTCGTCATAGCCCGCTCCCGCGCCCTGCACCTGGATGGTCCACATGCCGCCTGTCGTCGTCACGGCCCCGTAGACGATCTCGCCGATGTATTTGGACGCGCCGATGAAGCAGAACTGGAACTGGTCGGACTGCGTTGAATTGTGCCATTCGACTGTCCAGAGCGGGGCTGGGAAGACGGAAAATTAGTGTTATGTCACCGGTTCGGGGAGTCCCCGAACCGGTGGGGGACTCACCAGAACCGCAAAGTCACCATCCAAGAGCGGGATAGTAGTCTCGAACCAGGTCGGCAGCCTGGTGGGCTGAGTCCACATGCCCTTACGATCAATGTTCAATCCCAGGTTTCCGGATCGGATCCCGTACGACTTGGCCGTGTTGTTGGTCTGCACCATGCTGGGCATTCCGCGGATCGCAATTTGTCCAACTGTGGGAATATCGCGGTAGACGACGCCGTTATCGCAGTAGCGGCTGCCGAAGCACTCCGAATATCTCATACCGGGGACCTGCTGGGCGGTGCTGGACTTGGATCCCACATCGACCTGGCTCCGATAGCGGGGCAGGACTTTGGAGTCCGCATGCTCATACAATCCGAACGGTCCTATGGGAATACTTACCGTTCCTGTGCCGCGTTGGCCTGATGGAGGGTCTCGAGATCGCATATGCTCTCAGCATGGTCCTCTGAGAGATGCTTGATCAGCCGCGGTTGCTCATGCATCTGCTCAGCATGCTCGTGAAGAAAGGCTATCTCCAAAAGCCACACCAGTTCTTCACTGTCCTTTCCTTGAAACCTGCTTTGGACGATATTCATTGATTGAGAACGGTAAAGCTCCTGCTTCGAACTTCCCGCAGGCACGAGCTGCGCGTATCGGTGTCGGCACCGGGGCAGGTGCCCGCCTGGCTCTTCGGAAATTCTTCAGAAAAATATGAGGGGGTGTGGTATGTGCTGACCTCCACCCCATCTTTAATGTTCGGGCAAACGTGACCTTCAACATCAAGTCCAAATCTGTTGCTCTACCGACGAGCAAACTGGAACATCGACGGCATTCCAGAAGCAGACATCCCGTCGGAATCCCTCCTGTGCCAGACCCTGCTTGCCTAAGAAGAGCTTGCCCAAGCAAAGATCGATATTGATGACCCCAGTAATGTTGTGGTTCTGGAGAAGACAGCGGCACTAGCCGACGAACTTCCCTCTGAACCCGTCTTCTTCAACGACGAGTAACTCCCACCGGAGGGCTGCCGAAGGGTGGGCTTCAGGATTGGCGGCGACGGTTGGTCAGGAGCAGGACCTCATCGGCAGCGACGGGGGCCACGGCAAGGGACATTCTAGAGGCCTTCAAGAACGAGCTCGTTCGCAATATCAGCCGCGACCCCAAGCCCCTTTCCGGCATCAACTACATCGCAGCAACTGCCACAATGTTTACAATCTCCAGAAAAATGGCGGACGAGCTCCACAAGCGTTGAAAAGCGCTGTTTGCAAGCATCCACGGGAAGCCCTCTCCCCGGAGCGCGAACAAACGACGGGGCGGCCTCGTGTTGCAGACGCTGGATGGAAGGGACGAGATGTGCTTGCGGGTCATGGCTCACGTACTTGGGAGCCACCAGGTCAGCATCTCCCGTCATTTCTATTTCGACCGGCCGGGTCTTGACCGCGACGACTTTTCGGTCGGACCTAGAGGGGCGATGAGACGGCATCGGTCTATAACCCTAACCCTCCGGGAAGTGGTATTCATAAGCATAAAGTTAAGTTAACTGATGAATCAATGAAAAGAAGATATCGTGAGACGCCCCGGAGAGGGTAAGGGCTGGCAATTTGGCATCGTCATCAATAATACTTCTCCGCCAGCGAAGGTAGTTCGACTACTTGCGACTCTTGTTAACGCGATATTCTCCTCGCATTCAATGTTGTGAGTTGCAATACACAACTCCGGAAACGTGGTACGGACTAACCTGGAGTCACTACAGTAGGTACCTGTAGATTCATAGGATCGGTTGTGGACGAAGTGATTCCTTCAAGAGCGGGGCATTAGAAGCCCATGGGCGTTACCAGCCCTACTTGAAAATCCTTTCTTCAGAAGTTTATTTCGAGATTTTAGCGAGGCCAAAGATGACTTCCCCGTCCCGGCTCGGCCAGTGAACGGGTGCACGGGAACGAATTGTTCGTCCTGCAGCGTGTGAGGGAGTTTGCTCCTCTGATTTGCCTCCTCAAAGCCTTCTAGAGTATATTTACTATTATTATTCCTACACCGCTGTGCCCTAGGGCGTGCCGGACCTTCAACAACTTATTATACAGGAAAACCGCGCCCTCGTGGGCCGGGTGAAAAACCCATATCGACAAGTATATTTACTACCTTACCCCCACATGAGGTATTATTCGAGGACCGGTTCCTGCTGCAGCACTTCAAGCGGCGAATTGTGCGAGTCGTTCTGCCCGCTTTATTCCGGTACCTTTGCCTCGCCGCGTTGATTGGACAGAAAAGGTTAAGGCAAGCAATATCTTCTCTACCGCGCACGTGGTAAGAGAGCACAAGCAGTCAGACATCAAAACCATCAAACACCTTAACACGCCGCGCCTCCAACACAGCTCACTGGAAGGCCCTTGTTATCACGACGCATGTTCGGACCAGACTTGAAGCCATGCTCAGAATTCCTTCACCAATGGAACGTTGGCTCTCTGCTAGCCTGCTCCACGTAACCTCACTCTCAAGGCGTGATCAGGTCTGTGTACTGGGGATACGACGCAGCTCGGGCGGCAGGCTCAGCAGCAGCGACGTTGCCCTGGTGGGCGCGAGGTCGAGGGGCGACGCGATGGGGCGGGTTCGCAAGACAGTATCTTCGGTCAGCAGCTGGAGCGGGTGGTTAGGAAGTTTGCCAAGCCGGATGTGGTAGTCTCAGAGCGGCAGAAGGAGCGCCAAGGGGGCGACGGCCAGCCGGGCTACCTCGAGCGCGTAGGCGTGCCCGCGGTCGACGTCGCAGACCAACGAGGGCTCGAGGCGGCCTGCGCCGACGCGGGACGCCGGGTGCAGCGCGGCATCGCGCCACTATGCGAGCACGGCCTCGACTGCCAGTTGGGTCGAGATTGGGTTCAGGCTCGAGCCAGAGCCGTGCGGCGGACGGCGGTGCGGGCTGCCGTTACCGCTGCTCACAACTCAATCAAAATCAATTTTCACAGCGAAACTTGCGGTATCTCAGCAGAACCACTCACAGCTCCTCAGTGTAGTACGGTGTAGGAGTAAAGCGATCGGCACTTATAAAGACCAAAATGGGCTAGCGTCACGAAAATGCGTGTTGTCTTATGCGTGCTCTGAAAACACTGTGTCGGAATTGAACCAATGTGGAGGCCAGCAAGACCCGAGAGTCGGAAGGCTGATATGCAGGCTCGGTATACCCAGCAAGACAGTCGGGAGAGGCATACGTCATGTAACCGACGTTGCATTTGGAAGAAGTGGAGACGTGTTTGGTTTTAACGAAGGACCAAAACCACACGTTATATAAAAAATGTCTCGGTTGTGTCGAGAAATCTGATTACTCTACTGCTCGCTTTTCTGATTACGTACCTAAAATACTAGTAACTCGAAGCTTCCTGTCTCTGCGACAATCTCAGCTTCCCAGCAACCTTCGCCGGCGTCTTAGCTGAGCAAACCGGGCCAATGTCCACCATCCCTGCCACTACAAGCGGTTCATCACGCCCTCAGGCGCCCGAAAAGGCATGGTGGAAAGAAGCTTCGGTATATCAGATATACCCAGCCTCCTTCAATGACAGCGATGGAGACGGCTTGGGTGACATTCCTGGTATTATCCAGAAGGTCGACTATCTTGGAGCGTTGGGAGTGGATGTCGTGTGGCTGTGTCCAGGTAAGTATCCAGGTGTCGACACATGTGGCAGAAACGCCCTGAGCAAACTGTCATGTTAACTTATAACCTTCGTGGTGGTATCAGTGTATGAATCACCCCAAATTGACATGGGATACGACGTTTCCGACTACCGATCCATCCATGCGCCCTACGGCACCGTGGAAGACGTCGACCGGCTTATTGCGGCATTACATGAAAGGCGCATGAGACTTGTCATGGACTTGGTTGTCAACCACACGTCAGACCAGCATGTTTGGTTCCGGGAATCGAGGTCATCCCTCAGCAACCCGAAGCGAGACTGGTACATCTGGAAGAAGCCCAGATGGGACGCAGCAGGCAACCGGCTTCCACCAAATAACTGGGCGTCCGTCTTTGGAGGTGATAATCACCCCTAACCGGCGCGCTCCTTTGGTTTGATTTCTTTCTGCTAACAACGCTTCTTTGTCTAAGGCAGCGCATGGTCATGGGACGAAACGACGGGCGAGTATTACCTGCATCTGTTTTGCAAAGAACAGCCAGACCTCAACTGGGAGAATCCCGATGTCGTCCAAGCCGTGCACGACATCATGACATTCTGGCTAGACAAGGGGGTCGATGGGTTCAGGATGGACGTCATCAATTTCATCAGCAAATCCCCCGGGTTGCCTGATGCTCCGTTGAAGCTGCCAGGCCAGGAGTTTCAACCTGGCGACCTTCATTACGCAAACGGTCCTAGGTTGCACGAGTTTCTTCGCGGTTTGCGGGAGGTTCTGGACCGGTACGATGCCTTTGCTATCGGAGAGATGCCGTGTGTCAAGGAAGAGCAGGACGTGCTCATGGCAGTGGCGGCAGATCGGAAGGAGCTGAATATGATCTTCCAGTTCGACATGTGAGTGAACTTAAGAAGCTGACACGCACTCCCAGTCGCTTTCTATACCTACTTAACGTTGCAGTGTCTCCATAGATATCGGATCGGGCGGCAAATTCACATCCAAAACGTGGTCACTCGCCAAGATGAAGGCAATTGTCAATAAATGGCAGACATGCATGTACGACAACAACGGCTGGAACGCGCTCTTCCTAGAGAACCATGACCAAAGCAGGTCTGTCTCGCGATTCACGCCGCATCGTCCCGAGAATAGGACTGCGGCTGCCAAGATGCTGGCAACGTTCCTGGCGCTGCAGTCGGGCACCGTGTTCGTTTACCAGGGCCAGGAGCTGGGCATGGCAAACCTGCCGAGGGAGTGGCCCATCGATGAGTACAAAGACGTTGAAACGTTGAACCTGTATCGACTGTAAGCTTTCCGCCATGCTGACCGTCTGGTCATTGTTGTACTGACGTGAGAGACGAATTTAGCGCCATGCAACAGCATCGTGGAGACTCGGAAGCTGTGGAACAGCTCATGGACCAAGTGAGGCTAAAGGCAAGAGACCACTCCCGGTCGCCGATGCAGGTCAGTCAGCAAATATAGCACAACTTCTTCAGTTTCAATCCTAGTACTAGTATCAGTAAGTGCTCATTACCCGCTCGATCTAGTGGAACGCGCAGCAACATGGCGGTTTTACCACCGGAACCCCATGGGTGCGCGCCAACGACGCTGATTACATGCACTGCAACGCCGAGCAGCAGCTGAGGGATCCCACGAGCGTCCTTGCGTACTGGCGCCAGCTGCTGCGGCTGCGTAAGCAGAACGTTGATGTTTTTGTTTATGGCCGTTTTGAGTTACTCGCCGCTGCCGATCCCTCCTTGTTCTGTTACCGGCGTATCGACCCGTCTGGATATGGAGTCGCGACGTTGGTGCTGAATTTCACGGACTGTGAGTACGAGTGGCAAGTGCCCCCCGCAGAAGTGGTAGAGGCTTTGACGGCAGCGCGTTGCGTCTTGGGGAACTATGAGCCGCCGGCGGAGTTGAATGGGGATGGTTCTATGCGCTTGAAACCGTTTGAAGCACTGGTGATTTTGGAACTCGAGGATTTATATGAAGGTGCCTAGTAGTAAGTTATAGTTTCCGGAGTTCTTGTTTACGTTTTGTTTTCAGCGTTGTTGCTACCCTCCAGTTTCAATCTTGTAAAAGATGCTGGCTGATTGTATAATGCTTGAAAGTGCTAGGAAGCTAGATGCCACAAAGGGTCTACGGTAGAGCAGGTATAGATGGATGGATGGATGGAGTTGATTTCGCCCGGAGGCACGAAGCCTAAAGGGCCTTGGCACGCTAACTACATCCCATTCGTTGACGTTCAACCATCAACTCATACAAGCCCTCTACTCTCTCCCTTTTTCTCACGCCACCTGTTGCCTCTTGACTTAGTTTAGCAGATCGACTTGGAGGCTGCATTCTCCAAGTGTTCAGCGTCCTATCTTCAGCAGCTAAAGCGGGATCTGCTGGTTGAATTACGGAGGCGGCCCGGGTTGGGGAACGCGAACGCGTTCTCGACCAGCAGAACTTCGGGCGAGTGCTGGCCCGGGCCTGCTGAGTCATCAATTGCTGCCGCGCGAAAGGCGAGATTTTGCGTAGAGGAGATGGATCCGGGCCGCGCCTTGCTGATTGACAGCATGGGCCCCTGAACAACCCTGCGGTCCCATGGAATGATGGGATTCACTGGGATAGAGCGGAATAACATTACGTGCTCGAACGTCTTACATTATGAATTGACCGGTAGCGATGAGGTTTTCGCACCTTGGCCGCTACACACCTATGAGACTTCACCGCCCCTGAACACCAATGAGACCATCACCGCTCGGTGTCTACCTACCTCGCTGAACCATTCCAAACACCTCCCTCTGAAATTGTTCATGAAGACTCATAATATTCGGGTGCAAAGGGGGCAGGACTTGGCAGAATGCAGTGCCACATACGCCAGCCTCATGGTCCATGAACCACTCGAGGTTGGGCATACCCTCCCAGAGGGTGGTACCCTTCCCAAATCGGCCTTCCTGGCCGCTCTGAGCTACCATGCCTGCTAGAGACCATGTCTTCCGAATCGTAGGCGGGATACCCATCGCCAGAAGCTGCGTGTGCATGGGCGAACGGTGCAGGTAATCATTCATCGCTTGCTCGGCAACCGCGTCGAGCTGCGGGCGGAACAGCTCCTCGTACGAGTCCGGCTGGAGCAGTCGCGCGTCGCGCCGGAACACAGCTGAGAGGAATGTATAAAATGCCGCGGCGGATGTGAAGACGCCAATGCCACCAAAACAATCTGCAAAGTTGAGCATCTGGTCAAACCTGTCAGATGCATCCACGGCGGGGGGCTGTCCCTTCTCGTTGAGTGTGCTGAGGTCGACAATTCTCTCCCAGATGCCTGGCGCAGTCTTGGGGGAGAACGTCGTGTCGTTCTCAATGCCCAGGGGTGCCCAGATGTGTTGGCACATATATTCGTCCAGCGTCGAGCCCGTGACCAGTTCGACGGCCCTGCCGGCCCAGTCGTGGCCCTGGCCATACGCAAACCCTTCGCCCGGTGCAAAGACAAGGGGCATGGCCGACTTCTCGTCGAGTGTTGCGCCGCTCATGACCGCCTCTCCGCGCGAGGCACGCCACTTGCCCAGCAGCGGATTGAGCCAGTGGTACTCATGGCCCGACGTATGCGTGAGCAGCATGCGCAGGGTGATGGGCGTCGCGTTGGCCTCGAGAACAGCCGCGTTGCGCTCGTCGTTAAACGAAGTGATAACACCGTGCTGACCCATCAGGGCAAGCATGGGCCTGGCGTCTTGGTCCAGGTTCAATTTGCCTTGCTCGACGCACTGCAGCACGGCCACTGACGTCATGAGCTTGGTCAGGGATGCGATGGAGCAGACCGAGAACTCCGTGAACGGCTCATCTCGGTCTTTTCGTAGACTGGCCTTGCCGAACGACTTGGAATACAGGACCTTCCCTAGAAAGTGGACAAGTCAGTTTGATACTAGGTTGGTATTATGTGATTGGATTTATACCCTCTTTATCCCCCGCAATCACGGAAACCCCGGGAACCAGTCCCGAGGCCACAGCGTCTCCGTAGAGTTTACTGATTGCGTCCGCCATCGAGCGAGAAGGGGAATACGACGTGGCCGGACTACCTTGAGCAGGATGCTCCGATATATGTGAGCAGAATGGGATACCAATCTCGCAGGTCTCCTCTATAGTTATGTGGGAACCCTCGCACTCTTATACCCGACGGTGGAGCCAAATAAATCGCAGGAATCCGAGCGTCGGACTTAATATTGCTGGGCCGTATAGGCGCATACAACACCTTGGTGAAGTCTGTATCCACTCTCCCCGATATCCTACCACTAAGAGGCTCCGCAGCGGCAGCTGAACAGTAACCGCTCTTACTGCTCTACCCAGCCTTTCATTTCTAAGCACCCGGACTGGCTTTTCACTTGTCTAGGCTCGTCAGACCCCGTGACAGAATCCTTCATCCGCAGGCATTTGAGCATACACGCTTACATACACAGAACCGCAAATGCAAGACCTTACGACTCCTCTGAACTATCCATCTGATCAGCTCCACCGTTCGTGATAAAGTCCAGAATTCGTTCCAGGCCCTGCATATCTCCATCTGGACTTAATGTCACCGTCTTATCAGAGTCCACCCATCCTTCTGTTCAGCCATCCCCAAAATCAACAACCCATGCATCGCCGTGCACATCGATGATCACGTTATCAGCTTCACATCTCCCCAGATAATATCAGCTTCATGCAAGGCAGTTGGGGTACCATGCATTTGTCGCGTCCACCGCTTTTTGAAAGGCATCGGGGGCCTCCGGCCCCAAAGCTGACGTGAGAGGAGCATCCATCCCAATAGGGTACAGCAACAACCCAGTCAGCTGGGACCTCTCGTTGCAAACAACTCCGTACAGACGCTATGTAGGCACTTCGGACCGAAAAAGTCGCTAGCGAGGTAGTTCTGCGCAGCCAAGATGATGAATGGAGTGATGGCTCAGCCAAGGGCATTAACTCCCTGATTTACCATTGCCCATTCGCGGTTACCAGGCTAGGCCTATTGGACAGCAACAGTTACAGGCTCGAATAGGCATAGACCAACCAGGTGACACTGCATCAATTGAGGCACAAGATGAAGCTTGAATTGGCTGTCTGAACCATGCGTCATGTGTGTGTGTTGCTTGAAAGAACCGAGGCTTCGGGACCCTCGCCAGACCATGCTTTTGGGTGGGTGACGAGTCTTCCACGCTTACTGCATTGGGCAACCATGCCCAGCCCCTGAATCCAGGTGCTAAGGAGCCAGTTCGGTTCAACAGCCTCCTACTGCTGAGTACCATTCATTGCATAGAGGTTTGATGCAGTAAAGCATTGAATAATGGAACACTGAGGGCGTAAATGTAGTAAGCGCGCTAGTACTAAAGTAGTTATGTTCGTTTTGTGCCTATCGGCTTCCAATGTCCTCGATGGTGGACCACGTTATGTAGTCAGATTGTAATAGTTGCCCTTTCGGGATATCCGCCGGGCGTCAATAAGTTATATTGTATTGTATTGGCGAGCAGGAATGGAGATTTCTGCTACGGTGACTTCAACGACTTCAAAGGACTGCACCTCCTAAGAGCTCTGTAAGCTTCCCAGCTAACATCCTTCAAATCACGTCTACGCACAGATATGTCATATTGCGTACGTTCCTGTATCGTGATTTGTAAGCATCGATTAGTAATTGTATCGTGCAGGTCATTTCCAGCTGACAAACTTACGGAACGGTAATACGCCAATCCGTATTTGCTAGGAATGATTACATCCGTAAAGGATTCAATGTTCAGCTTTGTGAAGCAAATTGTTACACCCAGACACGCATTTGTAGATCGACTGAGAACCCCTCAAATCCAACGCATAGACTCCCCAATCTCTCAGCCATACAATAATCCCTCGAACTCGGCACCATGTCAGCAAACCAAAAACCAATTCTTATCGCCGGCGCCGGCGTCGCATCCCTCCTGCTAGCGCAATCCCTCCGCCTCTCCAAAGTCCCCTTCCGCATCTTCGAGCGCGACACCTCTTTTGTCTTCCGCGCCCAGGGCTACCGACTGCGCCTCTCCGCCGAGGGCCTCGATGCCATCGAATCCGTCCTTGACCCCGAGACCTTCCGGCGCTTCTGGGACAAGTGCGGCCAGACGGGCGGGCTCGGCTTAATCCAGCTAAATGCCGTCACCGGCGAACCCGTTAACCAGCCTAGCCAGGCTCCGCGCGGTGTCCAAAACGCTCTCACCTCGCGCGACGGCAAGGTCGTGGGCATCGCGCGCGGCGACATGCGAAAGGTGTTTGCGACGGACTGCGAGGAGCATATTGAATGGGGGCGGGAGGTGACCGGGTATGAGCTCACACCGGACGGGAGTGGGGTCCGGGTGACGTTCGCGGACGGGACCAAGTCGATCGAGGGGGCGCTACTCGTCGGCGGGGAGGGGATCCGCTCGCGGGTGGCGCAGCAGCTTTCGCGGGGCAGACTGAAGGTGTACGACACGGGCGCTAGGGGGATCCACGGGCAGGCGCCGACGGCGGCATTCAAGGGCCTGGACGAGGGCGTGTGGATGCTGCGGGACGAGTCGCGGGCTGATGGGGTGGTGTCCGTTATTACCAATGTTCGGGCAAAGGACATGGATGATGAGAGTGTCCAGTTTGGCTGGACTATGGTTGGTCAGCCGGGCGTGATTCGGCCGCCGAACGAGGATTACACCATCGTCGGGAAGCAGGCGGCGGATGTGGCCAAGACCCTGACCAAGGACTGGCATCCACGGTTCCGTCCGCTGCTGGAGCAGATGAACGAGGCCGAGGCGGCGTTTTGGAAGATCACCTGCTCGAGGCCGTCGGGCGTGCCCGAGTGGCCTAACGAGCCGTGCGTGACGCTCATTGGCGATGCCGTGCACTCCATGACGCCCGCGGCCGGTCTCGGCGCAAATACAGCGGTGCGAGACTCGGCTCTGCTGGGGAGGCTGCTGCGCGAGGCTGGCGGGTGCAAGCCGGGCGTTACGGCGGCGTATGAGAAGGAGATGAGGGTGTATGCGAGCGAGGCCGTCAAGTTGAGTTATTCCACGGCGGCGAGGCAGTTTGGAACTAGCATTGATGAGGAGAGTACTCCTACTGTGTGACAGAATGCCTTAATTACGGCTACGATGCCTTATATATTAACCCAATAGGGATGGATAAAGATAGGCCCCGAGAAGGAGGGAGATTCTTGTTTGCCTAGACAAAACCGTCAAAAACAACACCGCTCGCGAGCTCCGGAAAAGTCCTATCCGATTGCACCGTTTGCACGCCCGCGCAACCTGTTGCGTGGCTGCAGCGGGGGTGGAAAGTAGAGCAGTTCGAGGTGCCACAGACCTCGACGAGAAACTTTCGCCGACGTACGGACCAACAAGTCACCCAACCCACCCACAGTTGCCTAGAAAACTTCCCCGCTAAGCCACTGAACCGCTGAGTTCCCTAAGGCCTTGCGCGAGACAGGATACCCTGTTCTGCACAGTTGACACATCCAGAGTGGAAGAAAGTGAGAAAGGGAAGGTCCAAGTGGCAGACATAAGGAAGGCAATCGAGGCAGAGATCCAGACACACGAGAACCAGGGAACTTGGCGCTGCGCAGCACTAGTGAAGGAAGCCAGGAACTCAGAGCGGATCAGAGTGATCTGCAGGGACGAGAGCGAAGTTGCCCTTGTCAAGGAAGCAGCGCAGAAGATCACGATGCCAGGAGTTCGCGTGTTGAGAGACCAGTTATACCCAATGAGGGTCCGATCCAGTGCTTCAATTGTCAAGAACTAGGCCACAAGGCCTTTGCATGCAAGAAGCCACAGACATGTGGACGGTGCGCTGAACAGGGACACCATCACAACACATGTCAAGCC